AGCATACAATCTTCTAATCTTTTCTTCTACCAAGAAAAGATTCAGATATGCAAATTAGTATCACAGCATTTATGCTATGCAACTAAACTGCAGTAAAAATGCTAGTTGTGGATTGTTTTCTGTATTATTTCCTTTTCATCTTTTGGTAGAATAAAACAGTAAGATTATAGATACATGCAAAAAAAGCAAATAGTATAAATAAGGTATTTGGAATTACATACTTGAAAGGACTTAATAAGGTTGATCCTTCTATTTCACAGTAATTTTTTATAAGTGCTTTACACAGATGTGAGAAGGAGGAAGGAAAATGAAGTAAAAATATGTCCCCTTAAAAGTATAAAGTTGAATATTCTCAATAAAAAGGAGGACTAAAAATTCTATTCAGTCCAACTCAATTAAGTAATTATATACTGAGGACATACCAATCTCTAGACTGGCTATTGTAAAATCGATATGGAAAGAAAGGAAATATTCATGACATTGGCCTTTAAAACTTAAGAGTAGAAAAGCCGCAATGGAGATAAGTGTTGATATCCTAATTGAGAAAGAAAATACAATACATATGGGAAACCTTTATTAAAAATAACACTGGGCTGATTCTAATAATTTCTACCAAATAGTTTCCTTTTTAAAGTTTAAAAAATAGCTTTGCATAAGCACCCAAAGGAAGGTTTTCTTTTCCTCTACTATTAAGATTTCTTTGAGATATGCAGAGGCTCAACCTTCTTACATAAGTAAACTGAGGTGAAATAGACTCATGACATAAAATATTTTTCTAGCATGAGAAAATAGGGTTCGCACTTGATAAAACTGGGCTGGGCAGGTCAAGTAACTGGCCTAGGGGCAATGAGCAAAATGGGAGCAGGGCTGATTCCAAATTCTAGTCCCTGTTCCTGGTCCAGCTTTGGTTTCCCACCTGCATTCCAGTGAATTATGTTGTAGTCTTTTTCCTCATATAAAGGAGAGCATAGCATCAATGCTGTGCTACTGATTTGCATATTTGAAGAAGTTAAGCTAATTGGATAACAGAAAACCTCAGGATTTATCTTTCCTCTTTCCCCTCTTCCTTTGTCTTCTTCCTATTTCTTCTTTCTAAAAGATAATTATCTGTGCTGCCTTAAATATCTTTGTAAGGCAATAAAGAAATTGGCATGTTAAAATTATAAAATATAAATATAAAATAAGTATAATATTTATAATCTATAATATATAAATATGTAATGTAAATACATACAAAAATATAAGTAACAGGCCAGGTGCAGTGGCTTAAGCCTGTAATCTTAGCCCTCTGGGAAACGGAGGTAGGAGGATCACATGAGGCCAGAAATTTGAGACTATCCTGGGCAACATAGCGAGACCTCATCTCTAAAAAAAAAACCAAAAAACAAAAAAATTAGCTGTTCACTGTGGCACATAACTGTGGTCCCAGCTACTCAGAAAGCTAAGATGGGAGGATTGCTTGAGCCCAGGGGTTTGATGCTGTGAGCCATGGTGATGCTACTGCATTCCAGCCTGGGCAACAAAGCAAGAACCTGACTTAAAAAAATGGTTTGTGTATATATATGTATATATATATAATTTTTAAATATATATTAATATATAAACAATTATATATATACAATTTTATTTATGTACATTATATATAAAAATAATATTTTTTCTTCTGAGTAGTTGAGTGTATATGTATATAATAAAAATTAAAATGTAATTCCACCCTCAGATTTTGGCCAGTTCAATGGGAGGACCTGAAGGGAGGAGAATGGAGAGTGATAGGGTGCCTGTACACACACACACACACACACACACACACACACACACACACTTTAGAGAGTAGGAAAGTGACATAGAGAAAAAAAGGTCTCCTGGTCTCAGAATTGCTAGCAAATTTATTTGGTTTTCTCCTGTTCTTTCCTTCGGTTTTTCTAGCATTAGCCTCTCTTACTTCCTTTCCAATGCAAATTAGATGACCCTCTTATCACTGAGCTTCATTTACTCTCTGGCCTCCAGTATTTAGTGGCTGTGCTGCTCGTGGGGTTGACGCCAGAACCCAATGGAGTAGAAATGTCCCGTGAGCTTCAGCTACATGGTCCAGATAAATCAATTTATATGCCAATAGGCTAGCCACATTCCATCCTGACCGCCTATTAGAACCACCTGGGGAGCTTTGACCTCTCTCATGCCAGACCTGACATTGACCAGGGAAATCAGTACCTTTCGGGGGAGGGGCCCTGGTTCACCAGCTTTAAAAGCTCACTCAATCCGTCAATGTCAGGGTTTCTAATATGACACCCGTGTTCCTCTCTGGTGGAGAGGATTCTCTACTCCTGTAGGTCATTGGCTTTAGCATTTACCACAGAATACCTGTTCAGAAAATTTGAAGTAACATTTGTCCTTTGATTTTCAAATGAGAGGGCTTTTTTTTTTTTAAAGAATGCGATCATTTGCCTTTTTAAAAAATTTTTTTCTGCCTTTTTGATGTTTGAATTTATTTATTATTTGTTTATTTATTTATTTTACCCCAAATAGTTATACCTTCATATTTCACATGTTGCTGCTTCTTATGTGTTTCACAGACTTCTGGAAAGTTTTTGCTTTGTTTTTTACTTTGCTCTGTGTCTGGCTTAACAGTATGCATTCAGCTGGGATTGTTGCTGCACTGGGAAACTCTTATTTTGACTCAAAAGTGATTAGTTAATATGTTTCCTTTCTGGCAGACAGATGGTGAATTGAACATAGAGCTTTTCTTTTCTTCTGAGTAGCTGCTTGAGTGGGGATTATGTAATAAATACCACACAAGAACTGCTCAATAAATAGATTTTTGCATTAAGGAAAGACAGAAACGTCAGAGGCAGTAGACAATGTTTTGTTGCAAGACAAAGAAGCCATGGGCCTCCTCGTGCCAGGTTATTTGATGTCTGACAAAACGAGTTTTTACTTTATCTGAGGAAAATTATCATAATTAAGTTGTCCGTTCTGAAATGAGTCGTGTATTTCTTTTTTTACAGTAGTAGATGCTTGATATATCTTTGAAAAAGCCCAAGTAACTTATTAACAGACACAGGTGTTTAATCATAAAAGTTACAACCTCTCATGAGACTAAGAATGATTTTTTTGTCTTGACGTAGCATTTTATATTTATATAAAATATATAAAATGTGTTATATATTTATCATTTTATAGATATCTTTTTCTTTTCTTTTCTTTTCTTTTTTTTTTTTTTTTTCTGATGGAGTTTCACTCTTGTTGCCCAGGCTGGAGTGCAGTGGTATGATCTTGGCTCACTTCAACCTCCGCCTCCTGGGTTCAAGTGATTCTCCTGCCTCAGCCTCCCTAGTAGCTGGGATTACAAGCATGTACAACCACGCCCGGCTAATTTTGTATTTTTAGTAGAATAAGGGTTTCTCCATATTGGTCTGGCTAGTCTTGAACACCTGACCTCAGGTGATCCACCCACCTCAGCCTCCCAAAATGCTGGGATTACAGACGTTGAGCCACCACGCCTGGACTCTAATTTACTTATTTTCTTTATTTATCTTGTACTAGTATATTCAGCCTATCTACCTATTGCGATGTTTTCTCTTCTTCTCCTCAATTTAGCTGCCAAGAGATTTTTGAAATTTCTCTGTAGACTCCCACCACTTAAGCAGCACAACTCATAGTTCTGTGGTTGCTAAATATCAATGCCTAGAATTTTGGGAAATTTAGAAAGACAAACATATGTGTTTTTATCACCTTTGACTTGGCTTTTAAATAATATTTAAATAAACTCAGGCAGACCAATTTACACTGAGGATGAAAGTTACGGTTTAGGAGAGCTTGCTTCGGTGCATTTTATGATGAAGTTCATCTATGATGGATGAAGTTTGATGAACTTTAGATCATTTTACAAGTGATTTGGAACATTTTGAGGTGAGGTAGAAATTGCTAATGTGATGTGTACTGAAAGATGAGTTGTTATCACAAAGAAGAGTATGATTTCTGTCTCAAATTAATGTACAGTTTACCTTGATTGCATGTTTCTGAGCTGCCTCTTTATTTGCAGTGGGCAGTCGGACACCACCATCAAACCAGCTAGCTAGGAAAGGAGGTATTTTAAGGTGTAGAAGATAGAGAGGCCCCAGCAGTGTGGAGCTGTGCTGGAGACCTTTCTAAGCTGTCTTGAGATTTTTCCCCCCTGTGTTTATCACATTCCTCTGCCATTGTCTTACCAGCTCCCCATTTCTCATATTTCTAACCCTTGGCTTTGAACTTGACTTTGATTTCTGTCTGTATCCTTTGATTCTCCTCTGGACTCACCCTGCCCATGTCTTGTTGCCTGTCCACGTGTTATGGCTGCTCTTTTTGTCTGAAGTGTATTTCAGGCATTGTAGAAGCCCCCTTGTTCTATTACATATTTAGGAAGGTCCTTGAAATCTTGCTATTTTCCTGCTAAAGTGTTTGTGGGCTGCAGATGATACCCTTTATTAAAAATAAACTGCCAAACAGCCTTGGAAATTATCACTATCTAAGGTATGTTATTTGCCTTCAGTTATTTATTTTTTAGGAACACAATAATCTTATTTTCTGAGCATTTCAGCTTATAATTTATAGTCATTTGTCATTCATTATACTTGCCATTTCTCTTGAAAATACTAAAATGACAAAGTGTCTTTGGGTTTTATGTAACTAAATTTATGAAAAAGAAAAATTGGTTTATTTCTTATGTTATCTTCTTACATTGCAGGCTTTACAAATATATTAAAATTCAAAAACCAGATCAATTTATGAATCTCAGTAACTGCTTCATTCTCCTTTTGAGTGTATGATTAGGTGTGGCAGAGAATTCATGGATGAAGTATGGGGAAATTTTTTCTTACCCTGGCCAATTTTTATCCAGGAGTAATTTTTTCTTACTTTTTCTCTGTACACCTCAGTAGCATTGGTAACACTCACACTTGGCTATTAAGAATATGCAATCAGACATCCAAATTATTCTATTTCTTTTTTTTTTTTAATCACAGAATTGACTCCTGAGGAGAGAGCCCAAAAGATTGCCAAAGCCATGCGCAAACAGTCTTCTGAAGTCAAAGAAAAATGGGAAAATCTAAATGCTGTAACTAGCAATTGGCAGAAACAAGTGGACACGGCCTTGGAGAAACTCAGAGACCTACAGGGAGCTATGGACGACCTGGACGCCGACATGAAAGAGGCAGAGTCCGTGCGAAATGGCTGGAAGCCCGTGGGAGACTTACTCATTGACTCGCTGCAAGATCACATTGAAAAAATCATGGTCAGCATCATTGTCTTGGAAGGATTTTTAAGAAATATTTTCTTGTTAAATGTAATTCATATAAAGAGAGCCACATATGTAAATTGTTATAAGGGATTGTTACAAAGCCAGCACCGTTGCAGCCCCACCCATCAGGAGTCAGGACAGATGCTTTCCATATGTCCCTCAACCCTGCCCCTAAATAACAGGGTTATTAAATAACAACTAATGCAACTTTTATTGTAATTTACATTTATTTTTACTGTTTACCCAATGGTGCATCCCTAAACAATATAGATTAGATTTACCTCTTTTAAAAAAAACTTAATCTCCAGATTTCCCCTCTATTCCTCTTTTCTTTTCTTTGCAGTTTATTTGTTAAAGATACTGAATTGTTTGTTTTGTATTGATTTCTAGAGCCTGGATTTTTCAGAGTTGCTTCTATATAGTGTAGTCTCCAGCTTCCTCTCTATTCTGTATCTCTTGTAAATTGGTGGTTGGAGGTAGAAATATAATCAAAAGCATACCCTTTTACTGGGAACTCTCATCTATAAATTATATCTTACTATGTGAGTATATTAATGAAGAATTAGTTTAGCTATAAATTCTGTTTGTAGTTAGGAATGCCCAAAACTAAGGATGTTAGACCTATGGTTACGTCCGTTTTGGTTCCCACATTCTAGAACATCGCCAGAAAATAAAAAGTTGATAAAATTTAGGCAATAAGAGAAATAACTGATTTAGTGTAGCGAAGGATTTATAGTAGCATACTAAACTAGGTAGTCATGAATCAAATCAGAGGATAAGCCAGTGAAAAATTAGATGTTAGGCTGACAGTATCCATTAGGAATGGAATTTTTATTGCAGAAGATATATGTCATTTGTGTACACACATTGGATAGCATTCTCCCTTTATATGCATGTAACTAAACAGGAAAGAGAGAGAAGATCTAGGAAAATTACCTGAATACCTAGGTTAATTGCATAAGTAAATACACAAATGTATAGATACCATAATAGTAATAGGTAGCATTTACTGAGGCTTACTGTGTTTCAAGAACTGTTCTTAGCTAGTTTGAATAGTTATCTCTCTTAATCCTCACACCAACCCAACGAGATAGGTATTATTATTACGCCTGTTTGTCAAATAAGAAAACTGATAGTAATTGCCGAAGCCCTCATGGCTAGTAACTGGTAGAGTTTCCCTTCCATTTTTCTTGCTCTTCTCCTTCATCGCAGAGAACTTTTACACAACTTTGATCAACTACTTGAATTTCAAGCTTTAAAAGTTAAATATCAAATTTTAAGCTAAACATTTTTTATTACTAAAAGTTGTACTGGTGTCTGCCATCTTTCAGTGTAAATATACAGGTATCCAGCTATCTTCTGAATTAAAGAGGCGTCTTCCTAGTATTTTAAACCTTAGGATTTTAAAAATCATTTCCATGGATGGACTTGAGCTTAAAATAACCCATTGGAAAGAAAACCTCTAGCACAGCTTCCTTGGAAGCAGCACACTTCTTGTATTTGAATGGATAGTTTTAGACACTGAAAATCTTTAAGTCAGCAGTTCACAAAAATTATGTTTTATTGGACTGCAAAAGTACTTCTTGGTTAGAGCAGGAATTTACCCATTTGAATTGAAAGCATCAGCTTATAGTGCAGAATGGTTTGTTTTTGGGGAAAAGTGAAGAATTGTACCTGGAGTTATTAAATGCCCGGAAGTTTGGGAGTTGATAATCACATTTGATTAAACCACTTACCTACCTCTAAATCCAAATCCATTTGTTTAAATCTCTGCATAAGTAGAAGCCAGGAAAAATACAATTAATATTTTAATAGGAATAAACTGTAAATCAAAATATTTTAATATCTTTTTAGGAAAAAAGACAATAAAATCCCAAGTCTTATTAAGACATGTAAAATAGATTCAAAGTCTGGGGCGTGTTACATGTGGTTTAAAGTATACCCCAAAGCTCATTGACAGTATAGTCAGATAAAAATACGTACTGAGTTTTGCTAAATATTATTAAATATGTCAAAGCAACTGGAAAACAAAATCCTTGGGGTTAATCAAATAATGTAAACTCCCTAAAATTATCGTTAATCATTCTTATTTACAGAATACACACCTTCTGGCAAGAGAAGGGCATAGGAGTCACACCTGCCAACAGACTGCCAGTTAGCACCTTTGATACTAGCAGATGTTCTGTTTTTATGGCAAGGAAGGCCACATAGCCTCCTATTCTGTTATAGGAAAGTGCAGTCATAACATGATAAATTGGTTCTTTATATTAGAACACACAGCAGTTCTGAAACCATTTTCAAACTTGCTTTATCTCAAGCCCCTTAATTTGGAAGCTCTTCAAAAACAAAAGATAAACTTTCTTGATAGAAAGACTTCTCGTTGCCATATAACACCTGACCATAAAAAGAAAAACAAAAAACAAAGACCTTGTTTCTCAAAGCTTTTTAAATGTTTTTACCCGTGGCTTATATAGAGAAACATTATCTTTGGAGAGGAAAAATTTAAACTTCTTTTCTGTTCCAAAAGATTTTTAAAGCCTGTCTTGAAGTTATAATCTATTTTTTTAAAGTTTACTATCTTTTGAAATAAAATTGATTATTATTTGAAATTATATGAATCTCAAAAGATTTTCTGGCATTTCATTTTAATCTCCAATAGAATAAAAAGATGTTGATTTTAAAAGCTAATTGCAAGTCTTAAGTCCTCCAAGTTACCTACCGTGGAGACAGTATTAATGCATAAAGTTAAAATCATGACTGAAGAATCCTTGAAGGATTTGAATTCTGTCATTGTTCTCAAACTGAATATGAGGGACCCAGGCCTCTTTGAAGTCCAGACTGAAAAATTCCCTTTGCCCACCCTAACCCACACCTCCTACTGTCGTGTGCTTCTATAGTAATTGTGAATGTTTTACACCTGTAATACGTCTGTTACCATACAACTGCTCTTCTTATTTAATCGTATTTGTGTGTTTGTCTGTGTATGCATATTTTGTCATCTATTAAAATGCCAAATCTATAGCAGTGGAAAAAAAACTACTTCAACCCCTCCTCTCTTTCCATATATCAGCAATTCCCATGACTTTGTACACTTCTCTTCTTCTACCCTGTCTTTGAAACGTTGGTAGCTGCAGGTTTCAGGTGATATTTCTTACTTTATATGTGCCGATTTCAAACGTCCAGCTTTCATAGTTGTCATGCTGACTCAAGTCTCTTAAAGAGCCTCCCCACTTAAAGTGGAGAGGCCGGGCGCGGTGGCTCACGCCTATAATCCCATCATTATGGGAGGCCGAGGCAGGTGAATCACGAAGTCAAGAGATTGAGACCATCCTGGTCAACATGGTGAAACCCCATCTCTACTAAAAATACCAAAAAAATTAGCTGAGCATGGTGGTGCACGCCTGTAGTCCCAGCTATTTGGGAGGCTGAGGCAGGAGAATTGCTCGAACCCAGGAGGCGGAGGTTGCGGTGAGCCGAGACTGCACCATTTTACTCCAGCCTGGGTAACAAGAGGGAAACTCCATCTCAAAAAAAAAAAACAACAACAACAACAAAGAGTGGACAATGTAGAAATGATGAAACCTGAGGGCAGATGCTAATGGGATGTTTACAACACCTACTTCTAAGTTAAGTTTGGTACATTATTAACTATAATTTTGTGACTAATTTAAACTTAACTTTTCTTTTAGTATCCCAGTTCTGTTCTGCATTCTGTGTTAACTTATATTGTTCAAATATCATTTCTGTGGGCCTTTCTCAATAGAAAGTATTTCTCTCTCTGGATTGCAAGTCCTGTGCTAAATAGTGAGGGTCTATTCCCAAGCAACTTCCCATTTTTTGTTGGGGACATCAAGAATATGGATGCTCTTAATGACAGCTTCTAAGTGCTCTTAGTATGTTGTTTTAGTGACTCTAGACCTTGCTCAGAGGTGGCATTTGTCAATTCTAAGACTCATTTCCCTCTTTTCTTATAGACTCCACTCTTCCTGACCCAGGCCTAACCACGGACAGTGTTTATAAATGATTTTAACAGGGACAGACCTTACTTCTTGAGTCCATGTTAGGCACTGGTTTCATGGTTAGGAAAGTTGTTTTTACTGGCCACTAATTTAAGTGGAAACATGTTTAAATCAGGTTGTTGCATTTGGTGAAAAAATATTCAAAGTTCTATGTTAATAAAACAGAATAAAAAGAACATATGAATATAAACTAAAAATAGAATCAACATTAGATATCAGTAAAATGGAAAATAATGACAAACATCTTCTAGAGTAAACTGCATGTAATAAAAAATGTGAAAGGAAATACAGAATCATTTAAATGAGTTTGAATTATAATTTTTCTCTTCACACATTTATATTCTTTGGGTTATAAACAGTGACTTTGTAGTTCTTCATCCAAGTTACTGAAAACCTGAATTATGTTATCTGCTGTTGAGTGGGCAGCTGTAGTTGATGTCCTCTCAGCTGGCCTTGCCATTTGTTTGAAGTACAGTTCCAGGACACCTGCATATGCCAAAAATCATGCCTACTCAAGTCCACATTTCCCCCTGGAACCTGCATATATGGAAAGTCAGCTCTCCCTATAGGCGTGGGTTTCACATCCTGCAAATACTATATTTTCCATATGTTTGGTTGAAAAAAAATCTGTGTATAAGTGGACCCATGCAGTTTGGTTGAGAAAAATGTGTGCATACTTGGACCCATACAGTTCAAACCCAAGTTATTCAAGGGTCAACTGTACTAGCTTTTGTAATATTTTTTTCCAATAATATATTTTTTGGTTCTTCTAGGCATTTAGAGAAGAAATTGCACCAATCAACTTAAAAGTTAAAACAGTGAATGATTTATCCAGCCAGCTGTCGCCACTTGACCTGCATCCCTCTCTAAAGATGTCTCGCCAGCTAGATGACCTTAATATGCGATGGAAACTTTTACAGGTATCAGCTTGTTCCCGTTCCTAATGCAGGCTTACACCTCGGGTGGCCTTTAAACCCTATCTCGCTATTCCATCACTCTTCTCATTTTCTCTTTTGTTCTTGATGGTATTTGATAATGAATTTGGCATGTGATGACATCAGGTATTTGTCTTTCGGTATCTTGAACCTAAACGCCTCATTTATTTATAGAGTTTAATTTAATTTTTTGATGTACTATTCATATGATATTTGTAGAAAATTGCAAAAGGTTAAATAAATCACCGTAATTGAAACCTGTGGTAGGTCACAGAAACATTTTTCACATAGTGGCTCATAAAGGAGTCATTTTCCTTACTTTCATCATGTATTTTTTTGTGTGTTTGTTTCATTTTGAAAAATTAAGGAAGTCTCTATTGTTTTTCTTCTAACTGGTTGCTATTTATATGTCTTCCTTATTTTTTCCAGATAGCACATTTATACCAGTGGTGTTTACCTTTACTTCGTAGATTTTAGCTAATGCAGTTGGTTTAATGACTCTAGACCTTATTTAAATATGCAATTTTGATGTAGTGCATAAAAACATTTGACAGATATAATATTTTATCATATAATAGATTTGCTGAATTCAAATATCAAAACACTCAATGGTTCACATTTTCTTATTGAAATTGAAGAAATTAGTGTATAATATTTTATAATCTTCAGTGTTTGCAAAGAATGTTAATAATGTAGGATTAGTAAAGCAAAATCTGTTAAATTTATATGTGTTATCTAGCGGGTGGAACACAGAAGTATTTGAACTTTATTCTTTTTTTTTCATTCTGCTCTGTTTCTCTAATTCGTTATCTTCCTGTGATGATTCTTATGGTCCATCTTGATTTACTTCCCATTCTGTTTCTGTTATCACTACTTCTAAAGATTAGAAGTTGGGGAATATGTTATACTTGAAAGAAGATATGTATTCTGTCATCCTTATCTATGATGCTGGTAACCCCTAGAGCTCAAATGTTAGTTGCTGGTTGGACAAGAAGAGAACAATCTATGCTGGTAGGCTACACTGTTGAGTTGCAGGAATATTTTCTTCACTCATAAAGTGTGGCATTTGAATGCTTTTTGGCCTTAATGAACGAAGTGCATATGAATGCAATTTAAATGGTTAACCAGAAGGAATGAGTGCTGACTAGGGAACCAGACATACACAGTTTCATTTAAGGACAGCTGCAGATGAGATTGCCCTTTTAAGTGGAACAATGATGAGCATTACATAGACCAAGACTAGAAAAAGGTAATGGAAATGTCAGTAGGCTGCATGCAGTTTTTATTGATTTGCATTTAGTTTCTCAGTTTAGTAACCTTTTACATTTTTATAATGCAGAGAGCTAACTATAGAACATGTATTTTTAAAAAGCTGGGCATGGTGGCTCATGCCTGTATTCCTAACATTTCGTGAGGCCGAGGTGAGAGGGTCACTTGAGACCAGCTTGGGCAGTATAGGAAGAGCCTGTCTCTACAAAATAAAAATTTTAAAAATTAGCTGCATGTGGTGTGTGCACCTGTAGTCTTAGCTACTTGGGAGACTGAGGTGGGAGGATTGCTTGAGGCTAGGAGTTTGAGGTTATAGCAAGCTATGTTTGTGCCACTGCACTCCAGCCTGAGCAACAGAGTGAGACTCTGTCTCTAAAAGTAAAAGAAAAACAAAGATGTGCATAAAAAAGGTAGAGAGTATCCAGTCTGGGCAGCATGGTGAGACCTTCTCTCTACAAAAAAAAAAAAATTAACCAGGTATGATTGCACATGCATTTAGTCCCAACTACTTGGGAGGCTAAGGTGGGAGAATTACTTGAGCCCAGGAAGTCAAGGCTACCATGATCCATAATCGTGTCTAAACTCCAGCCTAGGCAACACAGTGAGAGTTTGTCTATACAAACAAAACCAAATCAAAACCAAAAATGTGTATAAAAAATATGAAGAGTACATTAATACGCCTTTACAAACTTAAATATGTATCTCAACCCCAAGTAGAGATGATCAGATACAAATTTGGAGGAAAATAAGATGTTGCATATTCACATGTCTTTTCACTCTCTGTTTAGCTTCTATCACCTCACTCATTCTTTCCCTATAACTATCCACTATCTATGTACTGTTTCCTTCTAACTACTATCTATGTACTGTTTATTTCTGTCTCTCTCGCTCTCTACGTATATATATATATATTATATATGTGTTATGGGGAGCAAATGGAAAAGAAGCCTAGGAAACTAGTTCGGTAGATAATGGATATATATACATAATATATAATTATTTTATTATATAATATATATATAACAAATTTTATATATAATATATAATATATATGTAATTTATTTTGTTATATAAATATTATATACCAAAATAAATTATATATATAATTTATATATATAATATATATATTTTATTATATAATATTTATATAACAAAATAAATTATATATAATATATTATATATAATATATGAAATTTATTTTGTTATATATATTATATAATAAGATAATTATATATTATATATTATATATATTTATATATAACAAAATAAATTATATATATAATATATTATAATTAATAATTATATAATATATAATATATATATTATATATTTTATAATTATATATTATAATATATTATATATATAACATAATTTATTTTGTTATATAAATATGTATGTGTGTGAGTGTGTGTGCATATAAAATCTATCTATTATCTACCGATCTAGTTTCTGAGGCTTCTTTTTCATTTGCTCCCCATAACACTTTTTACCATCTTCCTTAGAAAACAGAGATGAGTGGTCACTGATCCCATGACCACGTCTTGACTTCAGAGGCTTTAGAGACAATGGACTACATTAGAGGCAGAGTAACAGTTAGGCACAGATTCTGGCACTGTGTGACCAGAATATGAACAGCAGTGTTGCCACTCACTAGCTTTATTTCCTTGGGTGCCTCTTTGTGTTTTAGTTTCTTAATCTGTAAAATGATGATACAAATAACCCTTACAGTAATTGTGAAGATTAAAGCGTTAATTTCTATAAATTGTTTAGAAGAGCCTAGCACTATTTACTCTTATTTGAGGCCAGAAGAAGTCCTTTTATTTATTTATTTTTTACCATTACTCTGCTACCAGAGATAGAGAAGGGGTCTGTATAAACAAGCATATCCTGGGCAATAGCTTTATTTATTATATTCTTTAAACCGAAGATATTATGAAAGTCATTGTTTCAGAATCAGATTATTTCCTCTGTCTTGCATGTGTGTGTGCACAGGTTTCTGTGGACGATCGCCTTAAACAGCTTCAGGAAGCCCACAGAGATTTTGGACCCTCCTCGCAGCATTTTCTCTCTAGTAAGTAGTAATAAACTGGACTGGTTGCATTAATGGAATGAATTAGCATTTTCTTTCACTTTAATTCAAGAAGCTGTATTCCTTGCAGTAAACATATTTGTTTAGATAGATGGATGTTAGGAGGTATTAACATCAATGAAAATATTACTTATTGGTTATTATTTGTAATAATGTAATAACAAGTGAGAAATCTTCAAAGTAAAACAGAAATGAATTAATCTTTAGCTATGGCTTTTCATTGGACTGTCTGTTAGGAGAGCTAACATAATATCATATCATCATTGCTTTTTCATAGTCAAAGATTATGAACTTTTTCATAATAAAGAAGTCAGTTTTATATTTAAAGTTTTAAATTAATTTTTCTCTTTAAAAAGTGCTTATTAGTTTAAAACACACCTGCACCTTAAAAAAAAAAAAAAGTCACTCTTCATAAATCTTTAAGTGGGAAGATTTTGATTTATTAGGCTCACTGCAATTATATGTAGCTTTTCTTCTAGTCTAGTATTGCAAATTTAGCCAAACCACCTATGTAGAGTTTTATTTAATATTTTTCTACTGGAATTTTTAAATTTATGGACCATTCTTGAGATCTTGAATAACCAATTTGAGTTCCTACTTTATTTATCGTACACTGCTGAGGATACTGAAGAACGCAGGATTTATAGTCAACCAGACTGAGTTTAAACATTCATTCTGCTACTTACCAGACCTGTAAATTTCTGAAGGTTGATTTTGTTGTCTTAAAATATCATATTACCTATTTCCTCTGATTGCTTTGAGAACTCAATGACAAGGCGTATCCAATTACACAAAGCACCTAGCACGGTTCTTGACACAAATGCTTTCAGTAAATATTAATTCCTTTCCTTTCAATTCCTTTGGCAAATATATGTAAGAAAGCAATTTGTTTAGTTTAATTCAATTTAAGTAAACTTTAAAATCAATTTAAACTTTAAACTTAGGGCAAAGCTTATTTCTCAATTATGATTTTTTTTTTTTTGCAACTGCAACCATAGAGACAACTGAATAATACTGTATCTTCTAACTTAATTGATTACATTTATACTTCCTCTTAATCTTTTTGTCACTATTGATAAACTGCTTTACCTCAGTTAAAGGTTGGGCTTTTCTTTTACAATTTCAAGAATCCTAATCAGTCATTTCCTGCCCCTTCCTGCCCGATAGCTCTCTACCTCTCACCCTCCTCATTCCCCCCACCCCTTTTTCTGTTTCACCAACCTGAGACCTTAGGTAGTGAATCTTTCTGTGGTGTATAGGCCTTCCTGGAATATACTATGTACCTGGATGCCAAGACACGCTTTTGTTGTTGTTTCTTTTTTGTTTGTTTATTTGTTTTGTTTGGAGACGGAGTCTTTCTTTGTTGCCAAGGCTGGAGTGCAGTGGTGCAATCTTGGCTCACTGCAACCTCCGCCTCCTAGGTTGAAGCAATTCAGTAGCTGGGATTACAGGTGCACACCACCACGCTCAGCTAATTTTTGTATTTTTAGTAGAGACAGGGTTTCACCATGTTGGTCAGGCTGGTCTCAAACTCCTGACTTAGCGATCCGCCCACCTCGACCTTCCAAAGTGCTGGGATTACAGGCGTGAGCCAGCACACCCAACCGCCAGAACACATTTTTAAAGTCCGGGTACCATCAATGTTGGTGAAGTAAATAGGTTTTCCATATATTTATTAGATATTAAGTATTCCGGATTTCTGAAGCTCAGTTTTACAAAATGCAAAGCTATGTGCCAAGAACAAATGAAAGTGGAGTTTACAAAATAATTGAGAACTGTCTGTACTGTTCTAAGTATCAGTTATCTTTAGTATTAATTAAAGACTATGCTTTCACCTAGCAATCGCTCTCACAGTAGAAAGCAAGTGCACATTCTTTTGAAAGTGAAATATGGTGAAATTTATACACATTTTGTGAAAGTCAAATACATGTCCTTGTGTTTTCTAACACTGACAGTCCAAAGAGGTGGAAGTTATTCAAATTAAACCAATTATTAAAATGAGCGGAGAAGTGTAAACAAAGTCCCAATTAATAAATTTAATAATTGTTATCCTTTGCTGCTTGGAATCTTGGCTTTATTATATTTCTTGGACTTTAGCCATGGTTATAAAAGAAGCCTGTTTAGTTAGGCGCAAAATAAAAACTGACCTATTAACCTGGTGCCAACACTGAAATGAGGTTGGCTCTAATGAGAAATGTAACCTACCTACTTCCTCATTTTCATCCCTTTTTTATGTTCCATGGGCATACATAGAGAAAAGAGTGCTTGCCTTTTGTAAGGAGAGGAAGAATTGTTGAGTAGAAAAATTGCTCAACTAGTGTTCAGAAATTCTGAGATCGCATCTAAGCTCCGTCATTTACTTACTGGGTATCAGTCTTTCGGCAAGTTATTTTATCTCTACACATTTGGTTCCTCATCTATCAAATGGAACTTGAATGTGTATCTTGCTGGCTTCCTTACCAAAAAGATATATTTGAAAGTGCTTGGCAAAGTTTAGAATGCTGAATAGTTGTAAAATATTAATGTGACATGAAATTGGGAAAAAAAGGTATTGGTGACAACTGGCTACCTGAGGATCTGATAATATTTGCAAATTATGAAAATTTGAAGTATTATTTGAATTTTTGTGTTAGTTTGCTCAGCAAAATTCCTTTATGGCACTAGATTCACATATACTATTCTTCTTAAATAAGTCTTAAAATAATTGGTTAATGTAGAAATAATATATTTTTAGTAAGAAGTAACTAGAATTGTAAAAAAAAAAAAGTACCTCAATTAACAAAAAACCATAAAATCTCAATCATAGTAATGTCTAGTGAGAAACTGGGATTTTTATGCCTAGATGATTGCCTTGGTTCTTCACAACTTTTGGCCTATTTTTAAATTTTCTCTTGTTAAATTTTATAGAATTGAATTTGTTTAAATGCCATCTGTACTCAATAGCTACTCCTGTGACTATGATTAGTCATCTGGAAAATTCAGTCTTGAAAAAAATCTAATTTTTAATCTGGATGTACCAGGTAAAATTAATTTTGGTTGTAGCTTTATCAAAAATATATATGGAGTACAGTTTCCAGATGGCACCAAGTTTTAAATTGTAGTGCTTATAAACAACATCTTTTGAAAGTTTAAAAGTATTTTTATCAACAGGTTAAATCAGTTGGTATTAGACTTGGAACTGATATTGTTTCTTGTTTTACTTCAAATGAATCCTTAAAGCCGTTTTTTTGTTTGGCCCAGTGGATCTCATAATTATAGGAATCCAGCTCAGAAACCAGAGTAGTTCTTTGAATTTGCTATAAAACATTCAGTTGTTTTGCATTAAGGTGTAAGGCTTTTTGTTTTTCAACGTTTCCAATAATCTCCCTTTGTTTCCTCAGCGTCAGTCCAGCTGCCGTGGCAAAGATCCATTTCACATAATAAAGTGCCCTATTACATCAAGTAAGTTGATTTTAATTCTCCTTTATGATACCAAGAAAATTGTGTTTTACTGATAACTTAAGAGGCTTCTCCCCCTATAACTTTTAAAAATGGAATTTAATTCTATTATCTGAAGGAAACTATGATATATTTAATATTAAAAAGAAACTAATTTTAAAATGAAAATTTTATTTTTCATTTATCAGGTTAGGGATATAGATGTGTTTAGCTGATATATTTAAAAATACTCCAGCCTGAGCAACAGAGTAAGATCCAGTCTCTAAAAAACAAAAAATAAAAAGTTGGAAACAATGGCAGAATTTCAAAATACTCTTTACATTTTTTTTTTTTTTCCCGAGATGCAGTCTAGCTCTTTGTCATCCAGGCTGGAGTGCAGTGGTGCAATCTGGGCTCACTGCAACCTCTGCCTCCCGGATTCAAGCGATTCTCCTGCCTCAGCCTACCAAGTAGCTGGGATTACAGGTTCGCGCCACCACACCCAGCTAATTTTTGTATTTTTAGTAGAGACAGGGTTTCACTGTGTTGGCCAGGCTGGTCTCAAACTCCTGATCTTGTGATCTGCCCACCTCAGCCTCCCAAAGTCTGGGATTACTGTACAAGCGTGAGCCACCACACGCTGGCCAAACTGTCCCAATTCTAAACCATTTTTCTTCCTCCAAGAAAATCCATATAAAAATATCTTGTACTCTTCTCATTTATTCCACCAATAAGAAATAATGATATATCATAAAAAGTTAAATATTGTCAAGTTTTTCTTCGTCTTATAGAAATTATCAGCATTGTTAGCATAGGCTCACTGTTCTTTGATTTTGTTGTCCAATTAGTTTCTCTTTCCTGCATACTGTTTCTTCTTCTTATAAGACATATTATAAGATTTTTGAAATTTACACAGGGTCTCAGTAGGCCTTGATCCTTGGCTTAGGCTATATATTATTGTAGAACAGAATGATAAAATACTACTTCTACAGTCCCTTGGAGTGTAACTTAGTAAATATATTAATTTACAGTGTGCTCTAGCGATGAGTCATAGTTGACTCTATTTTATATGTTAGACGAACAGCATCATAATCATGACAACACTTATGGTCAGGAAACAGCTCTGTCTCAGGTTAGCTGTGTGGCCTCAGGTAAGTCAGGTGAAGATCTGTGGGCCAATTTTCCTTTATATCATTTCTAACATGGGGTGTGATATCCCCAAAATCTATGCAAATGCTCATAATCTGCTCTTCCAATATACTTCCTGAAAACGTTGTGTGAAGTCAGTGTTAGTGAAATAGTCTTTTCTTGTAATTTTTTACTATAGTCTGAGATGTATCCTCAGAGGGAAAACCAGGTTTACATAATGTATAGTAAGCATTATATGTTACTTTGTCTTATGGAAGTTTAATAATGTATAATGCACTGAGTTGTGAACTGAGTTGAGAATAAGATATTAAAGCAATTGATTGGTGTCAAATTTGCACAAGTAAGAATGGAAGGAGGTCAGACACTGGGTAAGTTGGCATGTCTCTAGTGAAAGAAGATGTGATTATCTAACTGAAAACATTTAAAACTGTTTACATTCTTATTGTACACTATAACAATAATAATAGAAATAGTATTAGAGAACTTTAATTCACGTGGGTGAATATTGACTTGAATTTAATATTACAAATTTAAATATAAATCTGATATACTGTGGTAGGCAAAATAATGACCACCCCAACCCCCAAAAGATGAACGTGTGAAAATGTTAGGTTACATAGCAAGGGAGAATTAAGGTAACAAATGGAATTAAGATTGCAAATCAGCCCACCTTAAATTAGGGAGATTACTTTGGATTATCCTGATGGGCTCAGTGTAATCCCAGAGGCCTTCAAAAGTGACAGAGGAGACAAAGAGAGATTTGAGGATGCTAGCTACCAGCTTGGAAGGTATAGTAAGCAGACATGATCCTGGAATGCAGGCAGCTTCTAGAAGCTGGAAAAGGAAGAAAATGGGATTGTCTCTTAGAACCTCCAGAGAAGGAACGTAGCCCTTCCAATTTTCATTTTATCGCAGAGATTTTTTTGTAGCAGCAATAGAAAATTAATGCATGTACTATACAAAAATCAAGAAGTTCACGCAAATTAATTGAAACAATTAATTTATTGAATTGACTTAGAATCCTTTATCATCTGATTTTTTTTAAAATGCAAACTGGGTTTTGGGGGTTTTACTAAATAAAGAAAATATAAATCTCTTGCTTTGTGTTTATATCATGATTATCTGTTTGGTTTGGCACTTTTAAAGTCCATCCTTAATTTTAGCTGTTTTTTAAAAAATTAATTTCTTTATGTTCAGGTTAATTATGTATGACTGGGAATTAAATTATCTAAATCAGAATTTCTCTATTTCAAAATGTTTATAAACTTGGAAGGATCTGGTAGGATTGTATTCTTGCTCTTAAGGGGCAGAGTTCTTACGGTGCTGACTGGTAGAGTGAAAGTTAGTTTTACCTGACTTCCCATTGGCTAGAGCACCATTACCAGTGCTGGAAAATAGATATAATACAATGATGGCAGGTATTTAAAATAATAATATTTAGGACTGCAGCATTCTAAAAAATCTTCTCCATCACCAGTAAAAGATTGGATTGTTTAAAATATATATAGTCTTAGTGTTAATTGACTTTTAAGTCTTCCAAACTTTTAGAAATGTGCCCATTTGTATAAATTCTCCTGTTTTCACAAAACATGTTTAACCAGGATCTTTCATTGTATAATTTAACAGTTTATTTCCTCATGAGGAAGGAACATCAAGTTCTCAAGGTAGAGTTATAAAAGCCAGGATTTATGTGTGAAGAATTGTTATGAAAATAAAATTGAATCCCCATATGAATAACGGAGCAAATGGTGAATGTAAAAGCTTTTAATATACACTTCCCTTTGCATGGCTTCAAAAGTAGAAGAAAAATGTGTAAAACAAATTTCGCATGATTGTCATACAATGAGAGTTTCCTGGAGCATATAATACAGCCAACAAAAAATAATATTCAGTTAGAAATATTCAGTGTTTTCCGTGTTTAAGTAGATCATCTGTGTGTTAGAATATGGCCAGAAAGTTGAATGGAGACTAGGAAGGACAAGTTTTTTTTTCTGTCACATTTTAATTTTATAGATCAGTTAAAACCCACTTTGATGACTTCCCACTACATCTCTGTCTCTCTAGGTAATTCCTTATTAATATTTTGAAGTGCACTGTGGTAGCTTCATGACTCATGTGTTTGTAGAAAATGATAGAATATAAATCTGAACTGAAAGAGTCTATATAGTATAAATCTCTCTATTTGTTAATATCTTAAGTTAAAACTAACATTTGAAAATTTTATTTGCTCCTTCTAAGGCAGACTTTCTGAAACTGATCTAGTTATTTCTTTTTTCCCAGTATAGTACAATGAGAGCTCATTATATTCAGGGCTTAAGAACATTTAAAATGGGGCTGGGTGCAATGGCTCACGCTTGTAATCCTGATGCATGGGAGGCTGAAGCAGGTGGATTACTTCACCCCAAAAGTTGGAGACCAGCCTGAGCAACATAGTAAAACCCCATCTCTACAAAAAATTAGCTGGGCACGGTAACATGCGCCTGTAGTCCCAGCTACTCAGGAGGCTGAGGTGGGAGGATCACTTGAGCCTAGGAGGTTGAGTTGTGATCACACCATTGCACTACAATCTCAGCAACAGAGTGAAACTCTGTCTCCAAAATAGAAAAAGAAAAAAATTTAAAATGGTTCTTGCTGCCTTCACAATATACAAAAATCTGCCATAAAGCCAGTTCTCACTCATTGTAAATTTTTGGTTATGCACAAATTGTTCATTTCCTCAGCTAAAAGTTAATTTCCAGGGAGTCTGAGGGATAAGAGGAATGAAAGCTTTGGGTTCAGTTGAACTTTCTTAATGTGTCACGTTAACCATGTAAAATTCACTACTTCTCAGTTTGCTCCAGAAATAATAACAACAACATAATAATAAATAGTTGCTGTGGGAAATAATAATGATCATTGTAATAAATGACATTTTTGAACAGTCATTTGCCAGGTGCTGTGCTGAATCTTGTGCACACATGATCTCTTAATTCTCTCAATAGCTGAGTGAAGTATAGGTACTATAATTGTCCCCATTTACAGATAAGGCTTAATGAATGATCAATAAGTACATTAAAAGTAATTAATAAGCACACTTACAGCTTGCTTGAGATTACACAACCAGTAAATAGAAGAGCTAGTGTTTGAAGCCAGGGATTGTCTCCAGCTCCTGAACTCATCACTATGCAGTGCTGTGTCCTGCCCCCAATATTAGTTGAGTCAGAGGATGGAAGTTTTTAGTCCCATGGAAACTTTGAGTAGGATGAAGGATTATATTTAGGAAGGAGGATAGTAGTGGAGAAAGTATGAGCAAACATCCTTCCTTTCCTACCATAGACAGGTTAACATTTACTATGCACCTCCTATGTGCCAGCAACTGAGCCCGCTGTCCAGGGTCAATGCCCATGCTTTTTCCACTACTCCACACTGCCTTTGTCTAGGCTTTTCCGTAGGCTGATTTCTACAGGACAATCTATTTTCTAGATGTTTAAAGCAGTTTCACGCTATGGTCTGATAATGGACAAAGGTGCTTTTTCATAGATAGGAAGATGTCATTCCCACAGTCTTTGCCAGTTGGATTTTGAGAGGAGTTCTGAGGTGGGAAAACATACTAGTTGGCCTTCCTCTATCTTTCCCCATTCACATGGTCCGAACATTTCTGTCAGTGGATAGATTTAAGTTTCTGTGAGTAAGATGACCAAAATGGCTGGCTTATAAGTCCTAAGGGACATAAAACACAGATGGCTCTCTATACATTCGGCCTGTTGCTAAGTCACAGTCTTTAATAGAACTTAGTAAGGTGTAGTTAGGAAATATGGTTTTCCTTTTTCCTTATGAGATCCTCTCTAAAAGCTGAGTGGTTGACGTTTCAGTAAGCCTTTAGTTTTGCTACAAGA